CTTTTTCATCTAGATTATCTAGTTTGTTGGCATACAGTTGTTCATAATATTCTCTTATTTCTGTAAGGTTGGTAGTAATGCAGTTGCTTCCATTTCTAATTTTAGTTATTTGCATCTTACTTTTTCCTTAGTCCAACTAAAGGTTTGTTGATTTTGTTGGTCTTTTCAAAAGAACCAACTTCTAGGTATTTTATTCTGTTTTCCTGTCCTCTGTTTATCTAATAGATATAATTTCCTTCCTTCCGCTAGATTGGGGATTAATTTAGTCTTTTTCTACTTAAGATGTAAAGTTGATTAGAGTTTTTTTATGTAGCATTTAAATGGATATAATTTAGCATTACAGCTGTAAACTACTCTTGAGTATGGCATTCTCTGCCTGCCATAATTTTGGCATGTTGTGTTTTTTTCATTTACCTCAAAATTTTTCTTAATTTCTCTGATGATTTCTTTGACTCATTCATTGGTTAAGTGTGTGTTTTAATTTAGAAATACGTGTGCATTTTCCAGTTTTTCTTTAATTCATTTCTAGCTTCATTCCTTTGTGGTTAGGAAAGATACTTTGTAAAATTTTTATTTAAGCTTATTGAGAGTTGGTTGTGGCCTAACATACGGTCTGTCTTGTAGAATGTTACCTGTGCAATTGAGAATAATGTATATTCTGCTACTGAGGGGGAAAAAAGGGTATTCTGACTCTTAAATGTCTTCACAAGACACTACTAATGAAGTAACTTCCATGCTTACTGGTTGAAACAGTAGTCAACCTCCTCTTTGCTGGCCCCTTGGTGAATTGCCAGTCAGATCAAATCATACAACTCTGATTTTTTAATTACAAAGCCCTTATTGCCCAGCTGTCCCAGCAGGCTGCACCAGGAACACAGGCCACCATCCCCATAGCTGCTTTTCAAAGAGATGGGAAATGCTGAATGGTAACACCAGCCTCTATGCAAAATGCCAAAATTCATAAAAAATTACCAGCCTCTTTTTTTTTTAATGTTTTTTTTTAAATCAAATAGTGGTTTAACAGTCCCCCACATCCACCCTGCCCCCGTTCCCACCCACTCCCCTCCTCCTTGGTAACCACTAGTCACTCCTCAGGGTCTCTGAGTCTAATGCTGTTTTGTTCCTTCTGTTGTGCTTTGTTTTTATATTCCACAAATAATGAAATCATATGGTATTTGTCTTTCTCCACCTGGCTTATTTCACTTGAGCATAATACCCTCTAGATCCATCCATGTTGTTGTAAATGGCAGGATTTCTTTTCTTTTTATTACCAGCCTCTTTCTTCATCAAGTACTCCCATGGATACTACAAGTGTTTGATTAGACTGCATAGTTCCAAAATGATTTACTCAGTCTGTGCTCACTGCTCAACAGTTGTTTTGGTGGAGGGACTAAATTCCTGGACCTTCTTACTCTTCCATCTTCCATGATGTCACTGGCACTCGTGCTTTTATTTTAGAAAGTGGTGCTCTTTTGGAAATTACAGTTTTGTAATCTGTCTCATATATACAACATTTTTAATGTTACTGTGTATTTACCTAACTTTTTGATGTTACAAATAATACAGCAGTCTATTCTAGGAAAAGGTGGCCAGAGTTGTAGAATTTTAAGAAATTGCATTTGATAAATCATGTCATTTTGGTGAACTTGAGTCTCTTTAAGACTGACCCCCCTTTCTTTATGTACCCCTTCACCATAATTTGCCCAGTAACTTCCAAACTGGTCTTCTGCTTTTGTTTTCATTTTATTTTCCACAGTCACAGAATGACAAATATTGAAGAATGGTGGTTGTCAGGGCCTAAAGTAGGAGGAAATGAAGAGTTGTGGTGCAAGTGGTATAGTTTCAGTTAAGCAAGATGACAAAGTTCTAGGGCTCTGCTGGGCAATATTTTGCTTCTAGTTAGCAGTACACTTAAAAATTTGTTAAGGGTAGATCTCATGTGTTCTTACCACAATTTTTAGAAAGTAGTTTAAATGATAGCATTGGTAAAAATTTAACAGTAAAGTTGTTTATCAGCTTAACATGAAAAAATTCAAGCCTGATGGAAGAAGGTAAAGGTAAAGTTGAGGCTGCTGTTGGAGACCAAGGAAAAGTATATCAAGATTGGGAAGAACTATGCAGTAAGCACTTCTAAGACTGAGTAGGTAGCCTAAACTGAGCCAAAAGAAAACTTGGGGTGAGTAGGCATCATATACTATTCCTCCATGGCTTGCTGTGTTTAGCCGCTGTTTACATACAAGTACAAAAAAAAATAACAGTTTAGAAAATATTGGGGATGAACTAATGTGATTTCTGACTGTACTGACATAATTCTCTTATTTACCAATTGCACATGGGCTAATTCGTGAATTGAAACATGTTGTAACAGAACAGTAGTAGTGATTTTCTACCTTTTCTGTGGTGGTTATGCTTCCTTTCTACTCTCAGTGCCCAGGTTTCAACCTTCAATGCCTCTCATTAGTTCTGTTATCTTGCAGCCCTATGTGCCCTTTTGATCTCTTTTCTAATTAATTCATTCTTTATAATACTTAAAAGAATTGTCTTAAAAACATTAAATCTGATCAAACCAGTCTCCATCATTTACAACGTATTTCTCAGATGATTTGGTGTGTGCAAATAATTCTCCATGGTCTCTATTTTCATACTTTTTCATCTTGCCTCTTGCTGTATGATAGAGGTTTTCTTCACACCATGTTTTGAAGTACGTCCTTAGTTTTAAACTTTTATTGGTGGTTACCTTTAGGACCTCAAATAACTGTTAAGTCTACATATATTAATTTATCGATTTCCCCAAAAATTTTATAAAGTGACTTCCTACTGTAAAAGATGAGAGTATCAGTTTATGTACTTACTACTGTGTTTCTAATTTGGACTCATCTTTACCTCCCAGTTTTTGTTAGAATACTATGTGATACATTGTCCTGAATTACTTTGTTGATACTTTGCAGCTTTGTAGCCTTTTTCAGAACTATTAAATTTACATTCTGTTCTAGGATACTAAATTGTCACATATATTTATGTGTTTGAATGAATGTGTAGTCTATCTCTCTTGATAACCACTATTTCTGTGAGTTCTTTATTTTGATACAGCAAAGGATAAACCTTTGTATGGCTCATAATGCATTAAATATTTTTCTGGAAATAGAGTGAAATGTTTTGATCATATTTATATCTTATCAGGATTTTTTAAAATTTATGTTTTCTCGTACTGTCTTTCTCAGAGACAGCAGTTAGCTGTTGGATCTGCATAACAATAACCATTTTATTACTGTACTTTTTCTTTACATCCTGATTGATTTTTCTCCATACTGTTTTCTATTAATGGCTTGATTTTACTTTGACTGTTCTCTCGTTGATGTATTTGTTAGTTGTGCTATTGTATTGTCCATTTTTCTCATTCCTTAACTCTGTATGCTACCTTTTCAGTGTCATTTTGATCAGAAGAGTTATTTTTGTCAATGTAAAACAGTTCTTTCTGAAATGTTCCATTTCCTGTGATAAATATTAATCATGAATGGACTTTTCATCTGTCTTTTGTGGAATAGTTTGAATGGTTTCAGTGGAAGCTTCTCTGTGATTTTGTAGGAGGGCCTTTGACTTCACCTCAACCCACACATACACACTTCAGGATGAGCTAATCTCTTTGGAGGCCTGGGTCTTTATATGCTGTATGGTGGTGCTGCTGCGAGGTGGGATTGACTGATTTGTGATTTTCTTAGTTTTGCTTTCTAGTCTAGTCTTTAGCTTCCTTTTGAATAAAAGATAAAATGTAAACCTTGTCACTTACTCCAGCCCTGATAAAGTACTGTTTGGCCACCAGGCAAAGGAGAACTTCAGTGAGAGCATTCCACACCTTTTCCCTTATCACATCTGTGTTCCTGTCTCCATCCTTGAAATTGTGGGTGCCAGTGAGAATTTCTCAGAGCATGCTACATACATATTCTAGGATTGGTCTTCCAGTCTGGACTAACAAATTCAGTATCTGAATGCTACTTTTTAATAAAATTTCATGATATGAATTAGAGGTGTTTTCCTGGTGTGTGTATATTTTAACTTTTTTAATTTTTCTTCAGTTTCAAGAGGGTTAGTCTTCTGCAAACCTACACCTGTACCACCATTTTTCTTGGAAGTCTCATAAGTACTAGAAAGAATTTTAGGATAAATGGGGGGCATTATTTAAACTGAAATAATATACATTCTCAGTCTGGCTCTGAATCAGTTCTGCAGAAAAATGCATATATTCAGAACATTGCACAGTGTTAGAGGTTTACTTTTTCTGGGACATTCTTTAAGTAGATAATACATGATCTTTCAAACTTTATTATTTGGAACTTCTCTTCGGATGTAGACATCTTCAGAAGTCTCCTAAGATAGTCTGAAACTTCAGTATTCATAAGAAACTCTTGGACAGTTGGTTTAAAATACAGATTTCTGGACCCTTCCTCTCCCCAAAAAGTCTGATCCGGACAACTTGAATAGGATCCCAGAAATCTTTTTGACCAGTTTACTGTGATGCAGGTAGTCCCACTGTTAAACTCTGAGTAATGCTGTCTTAAGTGTTAAATTATGTGATAGATGTTTTAGGTAACTAGGGCATTTCAGGTTGTCCCAGGGGGCTTAATAGCTAACAACTGCTTGGCTCACTTTTTAGAGGACCTACTACTCACCAAGATAAGATGTTTCCTTTATTATCTTCTCTTAATCCTGAAGCTCTGGGAAATGAAGAAGTTTCCTAGCCTTTGGGATTTTGTGGGCTGCAAAGATCTACACTCACTACCTGTTCCCTCCCTCACAAGAAATACCACCTAGGTTGCCAATTTTTTATTTTGCTGAATGTGAGGGCATTAAAAATAAATCAACAATGAAGAAGGAACATTTTTAACAATTCCTTTCACCCCAACTACCAAAGATAGAAATTTTGTAAATGTAGAAAAACCTCTTATGAAGCACTATCTGAACATGAGTAGGTACATATCTCCTGTCTTATGTTTTCTTACCAGTTCGGTCCTTTGGTACAGAAGACAGACCAACAGATCGTCCAATACCGCCTCGAGATGAAGTGTTTGAATACATTATATTCCGTGGGAGTGATATTAAGGACCTCACTGTTTGTGAGCCACCGAAACCACAATGTTCTTTGCCTCAGGACCCAGCTATTGTTCAGGTAAATTTGTTTTGGAGTGTAAGTAAACTTCATGTACATGGCTAGCCTTGGCTTTCACCTCTCCTGGGCTTTGTTCTTTGGTTTTGGTTTTGGTTTTTAATTTTCTCAATTCAGTGTTCAAAAGTTTACCATTTCCTAGTTATCTAGATACCAGAATACCTAGATAATGTTTTCACGTAGACTTTTCTCTTTAGAGCGTAAGTTGGGACTAAATAAAGTGAGAAATAGCTGAGGAATTTATTTTTATCATAAAATATTCTCTAACTTCAGCAACAGTTAAAATAGCTAACATTTATTGAGGTCTAACTGTATGCAAAGCAGTATTGAAGGCACTGCACATGTAAGTTAGTTCTCACCACACCTTCCAAAGTTGGTACTGTGATTATTCTCATTTTTACAGTTCCCATTATACAAATGAATAAATTGAAGCAGAGCCACAATTTGAAAAGACCTAGGTAGTCTGGCTTCAGAATCCAGGATCCATGCCACTATCGTTTACATTTGGTTTATGTTACAAGCCAGGGTGGTGATGACTACCCTTAAGTAAGATTATTAGGTTTAATGGGGGGGAAGGGCAGAGCTAAATCACATTCTATACATATATGATATATGTGCAGTGTTTTTAATAAGGTATCACAAATGTAAACAGATTTTAATATGTACAGATACATTCAATTCCCTAAATAAGGTATTAAAAAAGAAGACCCTAAGTGGTCTCAGTAAGGGAAATAATTTATTAAAAACAGAAACATATGATTGTAAATTATGAATTAAAAGAAGATATCTTTTAAAGTGCCTTTTTACATGTTAATATAGAAACTGAATTTGAGCTGTAACAGAGAGGAAGCAGGTTAACATAAGAGCATTTGCACTTGAGGGCAACAGGTGATGAAAGGTTATGGCCCCCCATGGTGTTCCTCCTGAATCCATTTTCTTCTCAACCTTTTTTTCTTGTCAGAAGTCTTTGGTGCACTAATATAAATGCCTGTTGATTTAAACTAACTTTCCCTTTTTTATGCTGTGAATGACAAAATCTTAATTTTCCACAGAACAGTCTTAGAATATATATTTTCTTACTTAGGATTTGTCTTACTTCCAGGTAGTAATAAAAGAAAATACCTATTGAACTCTATAAAATTAAAATGAAACAAAAAAAATACCTTTTAACACTTACTTCCTGTTTATTTCTCCTGAATATAAGATAAACTTTTTAATAAGAAATGGTAATATTGATTCACATAAACTGGAGAAATTCTCCACTCTCATCCATCCCCACCTTAAGTCTATCTTTTGAGGAAGTAAGTCTAAAGGAATCCGGAAAAAATGTGAACTTCTTAAATGTAAGGAGTAGAGACACATTCTAATAAGGTTGCCTCCACCAAAGAGTAGTGTTACCTACTTCTCATATACATCTTTTGATGATTCTCCAGGAAACCAGTTATTTAAGTAATCAGCTTTATAAAAGGAGAAAAACCAAGAGAGCACAAATCAAACTGATGTTGAATAACTTCTTCCACTCACCATAAATTTTGACTTGAAATCTTTCGATTTATTTATTCATTCAGTAGTAGTTATGGAGTATCTGATGATGTGCCTAACACTAGAAGTGAACACACAGACAAGGTCCTACCATCAGTGAGCTTATATCCTAGCTACCATTAATATATTTCATATATATATATATGAAGTATTTTAAATTAAGGCAAACTAGTATATTAAAGGGGGCATATATATGTACTAAAATATGTTTTAGGAAGTTAAGGTTTTTATGAAATATTTTTTAACTTAATGGTAACTATATTTTAAAATATAAACCGTTCTGCATAGGATAGTTTATTTCTTCATCTCTTTTCTGTAAATTTAGTAGTACACCTCATGATTGAAAATAAGTATAAAATCAGAAGTGAGATGTCTTATTTGTTAGCACCAGACTAAAACCGAATATAACCAAGTGTAATTTTTCTCATATTTCCTCTTTAAACAAACTTATTTTACTTATTTGAGTAACTTCAGTTCTCTCTTAAATATGCTGTAAAACTCTTAACTCAGAAGAGGAGTTTATTGTAGAAAAATTTGTTTCAAGTTACATTGAGTATAATTGGCACATTGTACAAGTACTGAAGTCAGAGGGTGGTTGAACTGTTGCAATATTAAGTGCATGTTTTAAGTTATTTTAATTGCTTTTGTGTCTAGTAGTTGTAATTTAATAGTTTTCTTAAAAATGTAAGTATCTGAATTTCTTTCCATTATATGCATGTTGTTTAGAGCCTGGGAAAATAACCTCATGATCTTTCTTCAGTCTTCACTAGGCTCATCTACTTCTTCATTCCAGTCAGTGGGTTCCTATGGACCTTTTGGCAGGATGCCAGCGTACAGTCAATTCAGCCCAAGTTCATTAGTCAGCCAGCAATTTGGTGCTGTTGGTGTTGGTATGTTATGTTGTTTTTTGTTGTTGTTGTTTTGGGTTTTTTTTGTAATTTCCCTGTCTTTAACATAAATTTTCAGACATTCTGTTTGGTGTTTCTTTTGTGACCTGTTATTTTAAAGGCTTTATTTAATGTCCTTAATGACTAGAAGTTTTGTAATTTTGTAAAGATCATCTCTCAGAATAATCACCTTTTTTTGAACCTAGATATATCCAATTACCAAATTTCACAGAATGTTATTTTAAATTTATATAAAATATATCCATTTAAAATAAATACTTTTCCAACAAGATGGGTTTTCAAAAAAGGGGATTGGAGATAATGCCTTTATTATTTAGGGAATAATAATGCCATTAGGGAGTATTTATATTATGTGGAATGCAGATGGTTATTCCATTTAATACCCTCTATGAGAGATACTCACATATAGCATGTTTGAGGGTGTGCTGCTTTATTATAATGTTTCAGAAACATAACACTATAAGGAGAATGTATAGGAGGGTGGGGCTAAAAAACAGTCCTACTTGTGTTTGGAGAACAAAGCTACATTAACTTAATATTCTTTTGTTTTTATAGCTGCGCATTTTAGCTGTTAAGCACACCTTTATTGAAAGTTCCACAGTAAGAATAACTTTTTAAACCTCAGATTCTAGCCCTTAATCTTTTTTAGTTCCATTGAAATAATCATTTATCAGTTGACTCTGTTTTACTGAATCAAATCCAGTTTCAGGTATATCTTGAATCTCATGAGTGTGCTAGCAAGTTCTATCAAAATTAATTACCTTGTCTGAATATACTTTTTTATATAGTTGGGACTTTTCAAGTATGTAAATGTTCTACTTATTCACAGAATAAAAAAGGATGGGGAAAAAAGTAAATCCTAAAATTGAATAAATACAGAAAACAACTGGTACTAAGTATATATCAAATTGATAATGTAACCACACAGAGAAAAGAAGTTGAGTAACTTACACATTCTTGGTAGAATATATTTTAAGAACAAACAGAACTGTAAAAAACAAAAACAAAATATCTGACTTAGGGTTTGTAATTGACAGTGGTGTCAGTGTTGTTAATTTTTAAGCTGTTTTGATGTATTATAGGATATAGGGCAAATGAGTAATATATAGGTGGTGTTGGGAAATAGTGTTCTTACTGTGGAGAAGGGAAATAACAGATAAGAAATAGAGAAATGTAAGGAAGGAACCCTGTGGTGTTGAATGTGAATTGGAGGTATGAGTATGAACTCATTTTTTAATGTAACTGGTTATTTCTTTTGTTCATGGAAAGTGTCTAGAAGCTATGACACCCAGTAGCAAAGAACACATGTAGGCCCACTTGTTGGTTTCTAAATACCATTCCCCACTAAAGGAAACTTGGGCCCCTTAAAAAGAGAAAAAGGATAGACAATGCTCTTTTTAACAGAGAAATCCAGCTAGTAAATAGGAAGATCATTAGATATAGAAAATCATGATTTTGTAATCTCCAGTGTAATAATTAGCAAGGATTATCAGTGGATGCTAAAATCACTTGATGAATGGTATTGGAACAGAGTATCAAAATGGTCTTAAAGTTTCATCCCACAATTTACTTATTAATTACAAAGGGGGAAAGATAATGGAGAGATCTGATGGTAGCCATCTTAATCAAGTAATCAAGTTTGACATTGCCATAATTAAATAATTAAATGTCTCCTGATGTGATGATAGAGGGGGGAGGTGATCAAAGTATATACCCTATGTTAGCTATACTGTTAGACTCCTATTCTGAACATTCAAATAATCAATCCTTTTGTGACTTCTTCCACTAAATTTTATAGTTGGCTAACTTTCAGTTTATTATTATTATACTTACCTCCTATATTACTGTAAAGTTTATATGACTTAATATGTATAAAATATTTGAACAGGGTCTAGCACATAGTGTCTACTACTGTAAATACTTCTGCCATTCTGCAGAGCCTGCTTGTCTAATCAAAATGTTTTGTGGTGATAAAATATATATTCCTTATAAATGCTTTTACCTAATTTTAATATTTTTGAGGGTTGCTGATTAGTGTTCTTTAGGTCTCACAAAGGTAGAAGGTTTTACTTGTGTTTTCCATATCAGTACAGAAATTTTTACAGTAGCAGATTACTTTTAATTGTTTGATTTTGATAGGATAATTTCTGGAGTGACTAATTGGAGGACTATATGTAATATTTAGAAGTTGTCAAATGAGGAAGAGAAAAACTATAGCATTTATTAAGGTGGCAATTTATTTTTTTAAGGCATGAAATCAGATACAGTTTTGTATTGGCACAAATTAAGCCAGATTTTAATCTAAGCCTTTTTTTTTCATTTTTGGTCCCTAGTATTCTGATTTAAAAAGGAAGTTTAAATAAATCAGGATAACAGTATTGCTAGTTGATTAGGAATTTTTTAATTTTAATTTTCATATAGTATTATTGTCTTTTCTAAAGTTTTTGTGCATTTTATCTCATGGAGTAATATCCTTAATATCTTTAGAGATTCTAAAATAAAGATATACAGCCCAACATAAAAATAGACAAGGGTTAAGAACCAACTTCACCTTTTTGGAAAAAAAGAAATATGGCCTTTAAATGTGGAAAGATGCTTAAATCTTGCTTACAATAAGAGACTGATTAAATCTGTTCCAAAACACTTTTTTTTTTTCCACTATCAATTTACATAAACCCAAAAGTTTGAGTATAATCTCTTTTGGCAAAATAGTGGGGAAACAGACACACTCATACATTGAAATAAATGATGTACCAGAGAAAATTCAAGCACTATTTTTTTAGCTCTTACTAAAATAATTCTTACGTGCAAAGATCAGGTCATCATTGACTTTAATGTATAGGCCCTTAGGAAAAATTAATTATCCCACAATAAATGAAGCAGCAAAACAGCCATGGCATGCTAAGTCTTATAATACTCCTATGGGCAAGATGGAGGAATAGCGGCTGAACAGACAAATGTATACAATTTAGCTGATGGAAGTCATCAAATCATATTATACNATTATATTCCGTGGGAGTGATATTAAGGACCTCACTGTTTGTGAGCCACCGAAACCACAATGTTCTTTGCCTCAGGACCCAGCTATTGTTCAGGTAAATTTGTTTTGGAGTGTAAGTAAACTTCATGTACATGGCTAGCCTTGGCTTTCACCTCTCCTGGGCTTTGTTCTTTGGTTTTGGTTTTGGTTTTTAATTTTCTCAATTCAGTGTTCAAAAGTTTACCATTTCCTAGTTATCTAGATACCAGAATACCTAGATAATGTTTTCACGTAGACTTTTCTCTTTAGAGCGTAAGTTGGGACTAAATAAAGTGAGAAATAGCTGAGGAATTTATTTTTATCATAAAATATTCTCTAACTTCAGCAACAGTTAAAATAGCTAACATTTATTGAGGTCTAACTGTATGCAAAGCAGTATTGAAGGCACTGCACATGTAAGTTAGTTCTCACCACACCTTCCAAAGTTGGTACTGTGATTATTCTCATTTTTACAGTTCCCATTATACAAATGAATAAATTGAAGCAGAGCCACAATTTGAAAAGACCTAGGTAGTCTGGCTTCAGAATCCAGGATCCATGCCACTATCGTTTACATTTGGTTTATGTTACAAGCCAGGGTGGTGATGACTACCCTTAAGTAAGATTATTAGGTTTAATGGGGGGGAAGGGCAGAGCTAAATCACATTCTATACATATATGATATATGTGCAGTGTTTTTAATAAGGTATCACAAATGTAAACAGATTTTAATATGTACAGATACATTCAATTCCCTAAATAAGGTATTAAAAAAGAAGACCCTAAGTGGTCTCAGTAAGGGAAATAATTTATTAAAAACAGAAACATATGATTGTAAATTATGAATTAAAAGAAGATATCTTTTAAAGTGCCTTTTTACATGTTAATATAGAAACTGAATTTGAGCTGTAACAGAGAGGAAGCAGGTTAACATAAGAGCATTTGCACTTGAGGGCAACAGGTGATGAAAGGTTATGGCCCCCCATGGTGTTCCTCCTGAATCCATTTTCTTCTCAACCTTTTTTTCTTGTCAGAAGTCTTTGGTGCACTAATATAAATGCCTGTTGATTTAAACTAACTTTCCCTTTTTTATGCTGTGAATGACAAAATCTTAATTTTCCACAGAACAGTCTTAGAATATATATTTTCTTACTTAGGATTTGTCTTACTTCCAGGTAGTAATAAAAGAAAATACCTATTGAACTCTATAAAATTAAAATGAAACAAAAAAAATACCTTTTAACACTTACTTCCTGTTTATTTCTCCTGAATATAAGATAAACTTTTTAATAAGAAATGGTAATATTGATTCACATAAACTGGAGAAATTCTCCACTCTCATCCATCCCCACCTTAAGTCTATCTTTTGAGGAAGTAAGTCTAAAGGAATCCGGAAAAAATGTGAACTTCTTAAATGTAAGGAGTAGAGACACATTCTAATAAGGTTGCCTCCACCAAAGAGTAGTGTTACCTACTTCTCATATACATCTTTTGATGATTCTCCAGGAAACCAGTTATTTAAGTAATCAGCTTTATAAAAGGAGAAAAACCAAGAGAGCACAAATCAAACTGATGTTGAATAACTTCTTCCACTCACCATAAATTTTGACTTGAAATCTTTCGATTTATTTATTCATTCAGTAGTAGTTATGGAGTATCTGATGATGTGCCTAACACTAGAAGTGAACACACAGACAAGGTCCTACCATCAGTGAGCTTATATCCTAGCTACCATTAATATATTTCATATATATATATATGAAGTATTTTAAATTAAGGCAAACTAGTATATTAAAGGGGGCATATATATGTACTAAAATATGTTTTAGGAAGTTAAGGTTTTTATGAAATATTTTTTAACTTAATGGTAACTATATTTTAAAATATAAACCGTTCTGCATAGGATAGTTTATTTCTTCATCTCTTTTCTGTAAATTTAGTAGTACACCTCATGATTGAAAAT